AGGTTTCCGACTCAAATGTCTACCTTGGACAATCAGCCGCTGGGTAGAATTTAACCTAATTGTTACCTGGATACTTCCTTTAAGGGTTAATAACTCAAATGGTCACTGAACTTTGCAAAAAGTTTTTGCGGGTCACTGAACTTTAAAAATTATAAGTCATCATTAAACATTGCAAAAAGGTTTTCAAGGGGTCACTGAACTTTAAAAATCATCCCATTTATTATTAAATTTTGCAAAAGATTTTCACGGGGTCACTGAACTTTGCAAAATGTTTCCTAGGATTCAGTGATCCCCTGGGGAAACTTTTTGCTAAATTTAGTGAAGAGTGGGATGATTTTAAAAGTTCAGCGATCTCGTTCCAAGATTTAGTAATGACTTGGATGATTTTTAAAATTCAGTGACTTCATGAAAACTTTTTGTGAAGTTCAGTGACCATTTGGGTGATTGACTCCTTCCTTTGGTGATTTGTGAAATATCAGATGTAGCAAGTTATAAGGTGCAAACTATGGAGCTTTTTTCCCTCGCAACCTCTTCCTCTAATATTCCGTAGGGTATAAAATATAATTTGTTTGATGCTCATATTGTCCTTAAAAGAAACTTTTATGCATGTGATGGAAAATCATTGAGCATTTGAGCTTCTAGACAAGGCCTACTAGACAAAGGACATCTTTCGGACTTTTATTGTGTTTACCTGGGTTTTCGGTAGTTAGATGTGTCAACCACATGCTACTATGCTTTTTCAAGGAGAGGTGCATGTGCATGTGAGTTGCAGATTATCAAGCCTCTAGTTTACCAGTGACCTCTCTTTAGAGAAAAAATCTATTGTCAGTTTTACTCATCATTGGGTACTTCCTATATTCGTGAATGTGTATAAAGTTTCAGCTATTTCTTGAAGGGTCTACTTTGTCGAATTTGTAAATTTTCATGCCAGGAGAAATTGTTGAGTAAAATGCTATCGGTGAACCTTTATAATGGACACTCCATATCATTTTAGTGTAGAGTCTGATCATGCCATCTCTACTAAACTATTTTGTATTGTTACATCTCCTGTCATTTGGTATAACATTGTTGGCTATTAATTTCCTTTTTCTCGGAATGTATTTTTATAATTAATATTCCTTCCAGTGGAGATTTATAGACTCCTACTCCTACTACTACCTGTCATTGTGTTGAAAGCTGGTTATCTAATAAAAATTACAGGATCTTTGTCTTTCTTGGATGCACGCTTTTACATGTGCACAGTGTATATGTGTAATTTTTGTGTATGGATACAGATGCTGACTAAATTA